CCACGTGGCGGTGTCGCGCCGGCGGTTTTCTCAGCGCAACCCCCTCTCCGGTCTGGGAGAAGTTTCACTTGAGCAGACATGCCCTCCGGGGGGCTGCAGTTCTGCCCGGGCCCGGCGGAGGATCACAGCTCCCTGCCCGCCCCTCTGGCTGCAGCCTCCTCCCGCCCCGGTCTGGCTGAGCCACTGAACCGCCTAGCTCCGATCAGCACCGGAGCCAGGCACCTAAACCTTAATCCCTCCCCCCGCGGAGCACAAGGGGGTGGCAGAGAACTGAACTAGAGGCTGAGCCCATAAAACTTGGGAGCATTTTAAGGGAGAGTCTCCCCTACCTGTTTGCCCTAAGGAGCTGGGCTCCGGAAAACACCTTTCCTAAAATCAGAGCTGGCAATAGGGAGTGAGACTTTCCTGGCACATGGGGATTTAGAAACATCCTGATCTCTATTGCAGCCTAGAGGTATGACTGCACATAAAAGTTTTTTCAGGATATCCCAAAATGTCTGCCCCACATTTTTTAAACTCGTCTGCTATTTTGAAATATAGCGCACATGATATTTTGATGTCCCTGCAAACCTTGTTGCACAAGGGATAAGAGATGGCTCAAAGTAGTGTTTTATTCGAAATTTGTGCTGTGTGGACTCCACCAAATTTCATAATAGCCTTTTTCAAAATAGACTTGAAATAAGCTATGCAATTTGCATAATGCAAATTGTGTATCTTATATCAAGTTTAGGGCGCCGTATAGACACACCCTAGGTGACCCATCTGACTTTTACAGCCCTGTTTGAGCCCTCATCTTCCCTGAATAAGGGTTAAACCTCAGGACTGAGTCCGGATGCCTGGATTCTGTTCCTACAACTGATACTGACTCTGTGAATGTGGCAGGTGTTGGGATTCATCTGCCTCTGCCTTAATTCCATCCTCTCTGCCATGGTTGTAAGCAGGCTCAGTCAAAGACCCTAGAGATCTGTGAAGATAGACCATTAGGGTTTGCAAAGTCCTTGGAATTACATACATAAATCTGAACAAGCAACACCTGACTTATGATGCCCCTGCATTTACAACCATTTTTTTCATGTGAGACAGCTCCTAACTCCCCTCCCTGTTTATGTCCACAGCTTGCATTTATGACAGCATACGACACAGACTCCACAAGTCAACCCAAAACAGGAAACACACGGTCAGTCAGACTTGCCAGTTTCCAGCTGCTGCTTGAACTGTGTGCATCTGCTCCACATTGGCCTTTGGTTTTTAGTTATTTTTGTGCATTATTTAGTTTAGTTTTCCTCCATTTTCGTAGTCAAAATTGATATTTTTAGAGTATAAAATGGGTTTCCAGGAACAGAACCACCATTTATAACATTTGTGCCTATGGGAAATAAGGGTTCAACTTACAATGGTTCTCCAGGAGCCAATTAGTGAAGATGGGAAGTATAGCTCCCCAGGTTGTCACTCCATGCATTAGGCTAATACAGTGGAACCTGTGAGGTACCCCTTGTGAACAGAACTTGTTTGTAACTCAGAACCAAACATTAGGGTTGTTCTTTCAAAAGTTTAGAACCAACCATGGATTTAACAGTTTAGACACTTTAAATTGCAGAAGCCACATGCTGGTTTTTGCCATCTGAATTCCAAGCAAATAAGCACAGAAGCAGTTCTCTTAACTCGCCAGGTCTCCTTTGAAACTCCTCCTTTCCGTTGGTAGTAATTTATGTTTAACACAACATTGGTGTACTGATGTGCTACCAGTAGCAGTTACTAACTTGTACGATTGTAAGGAACTGCTGCTATAAGATACTATAAGCACGGTGCTACAGGTAGCAGTTACCTGGGGTGCTTTGTGTAGAACTGCTCCTTGTAGGACAGTGCTATTAGTGGCCGTTACTGATGAGCAGGTTTGTAAGAAATTGCTTTTATAAGATGTGCTACCAAATATAGCACAGGGAAGGGCAGGGGCTTCAGCCTCGCTACCCTAAATATTCCTTATGTAGCACATCATTGCAGGGAGCAGCTCCGAACAAGTTGCTCCCAGTTGCAATATGCTACTCCTGTCCCACAAAATGCAGTTACGTGCCCAGCACCGGCGGCACAGGAATGGGGCGAAATGGCCGAGAGGTTCATGCAGTGCAGCCTGGATCAGAGGTGCAGCCCCTAGCACTGGGCATGCAGCACAAGCTGGGTGATGCAGGAAGCAGAGTCCACATCCTGCTGTTGGCAGAATCTCTGCTCCTTTCAATCCAGGGGGCCATCCCTACCCACCTGGACCCTGCAAAATGCTGGGGTGAGAGGCTGCTGGGCACCAGCACAGGGAAATGACAAGGTGGGGCGCGGGGAAAGGGAGAGTGTCTGGGTCTCTGCCTGTCTCAGTTACAAGCCCACAGTTGCAGAGCCTAACTGGATTTGCTGCCTCATTACAGCACCACCTAATGGCTAAACTGCAGGCGGCCATAGGGGTGTGGGAATGCTGGGAGTCACTGGAGAGCGATTTTTTTTCCCCCCTACTCCTTCCCTTCATGTGCTCCAACTGGAAACACTGGAGGGGGTGGATATTGCAGCCCCCCTGCTGTGTTGCTGTCCCGAGGGATGTCTGGTCACTCCTGTAATAGGGAAGTGGTCCTGTCCCCCCCGACCTGTGAGAGCTTGCCACGCATGAGCAGGCCCCAGCGTGGGGCTCTGGGGCAGGTCCCATCTCTGAAGCCCTTGGAAGTAGTGGCGGGTGGGATTTAAGGGAGTTCAGTCACCATGGCATCACCTGGAGCTGGGGCCGAGACACCCTAAATACCCCCTCCTCCACCTCGATCTATCCTGCTTGGCTCATCTCAGCTTACAGTTCGGCCAGGGAGCCTGGAGCTGGGAAGGAGCTGGAACCTGGACCCGCCCGGCCACGCTTTGCTGCTGCTGCATCAGACCTGCCACACAGAGAGGAGCCGAGCCCGGCCCAGCACCTGCGGCCCAACTGCGGCTGAGAAATCATGGGGGCAACGGATGTGCGCCCTGAGAGCCAACCCCCGCTGCTGGAGCTGCATGTTGATGCCAATAGACACCTGGAGATGGAAGGGGAGACAGGTAATGGGGTGTCACTAACTGGGACTAGGCTGGAGAGAGAGACTGGGCCTGAAGGACCAGCCTCTCACTGGCAGCAACGGCCCAACCCACCTCTGCAGGCAGTAAGGCCCCAGTCCCTGGCTCCCAGCAACTGGCTGGCGCACACAGCGCTGGGCGTGTGACTGGGCAGGAGCCATTTGGGCTGTTGGGTAAAAACCCCCTGTGACAGCTCTGTTCCCCCCTTGTTCTGGCTCCTTCCTCTCCCACCTTCAGCTGCATGGTGCCCGGATGAGACCCCGTGTGCAGGGACAGGCGCTGGGCAGGGTGGGCACAGCCAGCACTGGACTGAGGGGGCAGAGCAGCTTGAGCTCTTGCCACTGGAACATGCGGGTCCTTATCTCTGTGTCCCTGAACTCACCGGCCTGGTGCTGGCCTGGCTGGCAGTAGTGGGGGAGCGCTGAGTTGAGGGGGGAGGGGCTGTTCTGTCAGCCCCAGCCTGCCTGAGCCCCTGGGAGCCTCTCCCAGAGCATCTGACAGGAGGCACGAGGGACAGAACGGAGTGTGTTTCAGGGCAGCCTGGGGCCTGGCCTTACAGATCCCTCTGTTTCAGAGCTACGCTGTAACTACAACAAATGTATAGTTGTCCTGGGAGTAACAGTCTTCGTTCTCCTCATCGCTGTTATTGTCCTGGCAGGTGAGTTCTCAGCCCTCCCTGCCCCCTCTCTGCACGTCCCACCCCCTGGAGCTGCCCCAGTCACAGCATCTCCTCCTGGCCGGTCTGGCTCCTGCCCCTGGGACAGAGGGTACCTGGGATGATGCTTCTCCTAGAGCCACCTCCTGCCCCTTCCCAGGCCCTGCACTGAGCACTTGCTGTGGGGGGGAGGGTCTTACTGATATTAGCCCCACCCCTCCCACGCAGCCCATCGCTGAGCACATGGGGTTCCAGTGGCTATCCCCAGGCCGCAGAAATAGTCACTGACACCTGGGTGGGGTGGGAGGGATAATTGATGGGGCGGGTGCAGGGCAGCAGTGAGCTGGGCCCTCTGCCTGCAGCCTGTCACCCTGAGGCACTAGCCTGCCCTGCCTGCGTCCCTGTGTTGTGCCCAGGGCTGGGCTGGCAGGTGCTGCCCCATCACTGAAATGAACTGTGGGGACCAGCATAGTCACCCCCATTAATGCTGTGTGACACCCACCAGTGAGTGACCTGGGCAGGGCCCCTCAGTGCTAGCAACTCCCTCTCCTGCACAAACAGGGCATGCTGGTGCCCAGGGCAGCTGATCCTGGTGAGTGTGGGCTCTGATCATGGGACCCCTGGAGAGTTTAGTGGCTGGCGTGGAGGGGGCAGAAGGTGACTCCAGGTCTGGCTGCACTGGGGATCCTCTGTGCCAATGCTCTTGATGAAAATTGGTAACATATCAGTCAGTTCAACTTTAAATGCACAGCTGTGGTGCAGATTGGGGCTTGCACTAGTGCCCCTCAGATCTGCAAGTAACCAGAGTGGGACGTGCTGCTCTGGCATATGTATGCGAGGGGTTTTCACTGATGTATCTGCCTCACTCTCCTTACACCACAGCCAGCTGCCCTGTTCCAGGTAATTTTGGCTCACACAGCGTAAGGTGGGATCTGTGTGCTTGGGTTTACTCTCCCTTGCATGTGCAGGCTGCCCCAGAACACAATGGAGTCAGATGGTAGAAATGACACAAAGTGGGATCCTGGAACTGAATGGCTCCTTGCCGTGCCTTGTCCCTGTGAGGCAGTACGGGAAGGGGCCCACGGGCCTGGCAGCCTTTCTCCTGGGGGCCTGTATACACCCATATCCCACTGCGTACAGGGAGTGAAATGTGAAATTGTGCCCTGCACAGCTGCAGCAGCTGCCTGGAACAAGGGATACAAATCCCACACTGACCTGCACCTGGGAACAGTGGCTGTACTGGCCGCCCTGCTCTGTCCAGGTGCAGGTGCCAGCACCTGGCACCGTGGCCTCTCCAGGGACATCCAGGCCTGGTACACGATTTGTTTGTTCTTAGACCCCTGCTACCCCAGCTGCCAGTGGCTTTAAAACCAGCTGGGATCACTGGTGTAAAGGAGCAAGTGCACTAAATGGCTGGAGGGGTTTGCAACAAACTCCTCCACATACCAAGTGCCCAAGGCTGAGAGTGGGCAGGAGTGATTCAGGGGAGGGGGCAGGAGGTGGGGAATTCCAAACTCATATGGTGTTAGTTAGTAAAGGGATAGAACTTAGCAACCCTCCCTAGTAACCATAATAACCTGCCTCTGGCTCCTCACCTGCTGCTCTGAGTTGCCAGTAGCGCCTGGGGGTGAGTTATATGTCCTCGCCCCCTTGCCAGTGTGACCCTTCTTATGGCACTGCAAGGGTCACACTGCAGGGAAGCTTTAGTTTCTTTCTGGATGCTAAATTAGCAGGCAGCAATCTCTCTGCGTAGGGAAGGAATGCATTAGGAAGCAGCCACCCTGCGCTTCCCTCAATGACTTGCCTGCCTTGAGTTGCTTGTCTGGCCCATGATCTTGTGCCTGGGCTGCTCTGAGCTGTCTCTGCCCCCGGGCTGCGCGTGTCCCTTCCCACCCGGCAAACGTCTCCCTCGCCCTGCGTCTGGCTGCGCTGGGAGCTCCGGGCAACAGGTAGGGAAGGAATGCATTAGGAAGCAGCCACCCTGCGCTTCCCTCAATGACTTGCCTGCCTTGAGTTGCTTGTCTGGCCCATGATCTTGTGCCTGGGCTGCTCTGAGCTGTCTCTGCCCCCGGGCTGCGCGTGTCCCTTCCCACCCGGCAAACGTCTCCCTCGCCCTGCGTCTGGCTGCGCTGGGAGCTCCGGGCAACAGGTGCTTGGCCTGGCGAAGGGTAGGGAGTTTGTTCCCCCCCACCCGTCAGCCCCCTCCTGGGCAGCCCAGCGCAGAGCAGGGGAGGGGCAGTGGCCCAGGCCCCTCGGGGAACCTGCCTGGCCAATCCTGCAGAACCCGCCTCTTACCCAGCGTTGTTCTCCTGCCTGTTGCTGGCCTTCACACTTGCCCCACCCCCTGCTGCCCCCTGCCCTCCTCTGCTCTGACCCACAGCCTGGGCCTGCCTCTCTGGCCTTTCAACTAGGAGCTGTTTGTCAGCTACTTCCTTGTTGAACCAGAGCCCAGACAGTGGTCCAAGGAAACCTTGGTGGCTGGATTTCCAGCATCCTTGTAGCTCGCTCAAGGTTGTGTCCTGTTCCTCCCTGCTTCACCTCCCTCCCGCCCCCTACCTCC